TGAAATTCTTGATGCATCTGTTGGTCACGTCTCTTCATGGCATCAGTAGTTCGGCATCAGTGTTCTCTTCAGAAATGGTGGGCACATCTGACAGCTCCGAGTTGGAACATTATCAAGTGAACAAATGGTGGCAGTGGCACACATGGAGAGCTAGAGAGAGATTAGATAACTGCAAATAATTGTTGTCACTTTAATGTTGATAATGTGTATGAGTTTCACAGCGATGCAATGCAACAAAAGCTTTTCAGAACATTGTCGTGACGCTCGAGTCCAGTTGTGCGGCTTTTATCTGACAAATCTGACAACCCAGAGAGTCCAGAGGAGGCCGCATCACAAAAGAACAATTGAGTTCTGCCAAGAGAACAAAAGTTTTTAAGAGTGAAAAATCCAAATAGCTTCTTCAGTTCTGACAGGGCTTTGAAGGACACTGTCTTATATCTGTCTGAAGGGAGGAACAAACTAAACTGAAACTATAACACTAGGGATGTATTAATAACCGAAATATCGTGATATTGTATCATCAAAATTCTCACAATAATATCATGAACCATCACAATATGTCGAATTACAAGTGTCTTTGCTTAAATTAAGAATTATAGTGCAGCAGTAGTTAAAAAAAAAAAAAAAAGACAGAGGGAACTACATAGACCATGATCCTTTGCACCATTTCAGTGTAGACTTCATGAAGAAATAACAGTTCTAAGCACTTTTAAGTCTTAGTTCTTTGGATTAAATCTTAAGGGAGAGGGAAAAAGTAGCATATTAACAGTTTTAGCTGTTTAGCCTCCACAAAATATCTCAATAAATATCTTATCGTGAGATGTATATCGTGAAAACATCATACAGAGAGATTTGGGTATTGTTACACCCCTAATTGTGAGCTTCCCCACCATATCGTGAGCTTTCCCACAATATCGCAATAAATAGCGTACCGTGAGGTTCATACCGTGACTGTATCGTATCGTGAGACTTTGATATCATTACACCCCTATATAACACCATATTTGTTTACATGAAGGCAGGGCAAGTTTATTTGTATAGCACAATTCGTACACAAAGTATTTCAAAGAGCTTTACAGAATAACAAATAAATTAAAATCACAATACAAAAATATCAAAACATAAATCAACATAATAAAATTAAGAAGCGTGAAAGACATTAAATAAGAGGTAAGAGTGCAGAATGAAAACTGAAAGCCTTTCAGTCATGTGCAGCTAAACAGAACAGTTTTGAGCCTGGATTTAAACAGCATCAATGTAGAGGCCTGTCTCACATCTTCAGGAACACTGTTCCTGGTTTTAGCTGCATGAATCTGAAATTCTGACTCCCCGTGTTTAGTCCAGACTCTGGGCACCAGCAGTAGACCGGTCCCTGAGGTCCTCAGAGAGCAAGATGGTTCATGTGGCACTAACATGTCACAGATGTACTTTGGTGCTCAGCCGTGGAGAAACTTGTACACAAGCAGAGCCGCTTTAAAGTCTATTCTCTGAGCCACACGAAGTCAGGAGTATTTAACTCCCCTTAGGCATGAACTTACCGTAAGTTGTTCGTTGGTCTAACAGGAATCCACACCTTCAGTGTACTTACTTCCTCCCTCCAGACAGATTAAGGCAGTGACTTACCAGAATGTTGTCAGAACTGAAGAAGCCTCTTGGGTGAGTGGTGAAATATGTATACTGACAGAATCAATTTTTTTCTTTCATTTTTGATGTATTACACATTCACTCCTCAGAACTGTTGATGGTCAGTTCCCTTGGGCAGTGTGGCAGCAAGTTTATGCCTACAGGGCCTCCGAACATCACCGATCATAATTACTGATGCTTTCACGTTTTTGAGGAACAGTGTGATTAATCCACTCTTCAAACTCCGCTTCTGCAACTAAGGGTTTGTGATCTGACACCTCCTAACTGTAATGAGGACAGTCTTGTGTGATGTCACCAGCTACCTGAAATTTCACACCGTTTTTGATGCATTTTTAAACATTGATTTAGTGTTTAGTTCCACTTTAATGTTCTAAATCTTTTTGGATGTGTACTTATCGTTGGGTGCTAGTTGTCTATAGATGATAGGTGAACAGAAAAACACAGGTAACAAGAATATCTGATTTTGCAAAAGAGACAAAAGGCAGCCATCTTAAAAGCCAAACCTCTCATATTGTATCGATATTTTACCTCCAAATGTCAAGACAAGACTTCCAACTGTGCGTCGTCTTTTGTATTTGTGATCTTTGCGACTTGAATAACAGTCTCGGGGCTACTCATCTTTTTTTTTCTAACTCCTGCTAGTGCTGCCGTTTGATGCACACACGTACACCGAAGCCAATTTCCTTTAAAAATGATTCTATCTCGGGGAGCATGTCGAGAGATTTATGGCCTCTAGTCTATTCCCCAGAGGAGCTTGTAGCAGTGACAAGAGGAATGAGCCTTGTCCACACTGTAACATCCGTCTACCATGAGCTACGTGACATGCACTTTTCATGGAGGCTACAGCGGTTAGCATTTTAGCATTTTGTTACGTCAGAATAAATAGGGCCATAAAGTGAATGTCTCTCAGTGAAGTGGCTGCTGGAGACGAGCCCATTATTGGCTTTAGACTCAATTATTTGAACGTATATTCCATCTAAGAGCAGTTTGTGGCAAGATGGTGCTTTGTAGCCGTAATGCTTTTCAAATACAGCTCCAACAGACAATAAAAACAATGGGCAGACTTTACTGCAACTCAATGTAACTTTGTTTGTCCCAGATGGACAATTTAATCACACTGCTGTTAAAATGCAACAATAAACTAATAGCCCATAGGTTTCAGTGCAACTTAACAGGAGGGACTGGTCAGATGGGGTCAGTGGATTTTGTGTCAGGCCAGTTTGAGTAGAGTAATAGCTCTCAGGACAAAAGTTCTCAAAAAACAAAAAAAAAAAAAAAACCCAAAACCTATCAAAGAATTTTTTTTTAAAGAGAACTGCACATATAAACTCATTGTGGTGAATAGAGGTGAATCAGAATGCATAAGGTAAGTGAGGAATATCAAAAGAAAAAATTCGATCTGTCAACTGGACAAGTTTATTTGGTTGAATACATTTCGTAGCTCATCCAAGCTGCTTATTCAGTTCTGGTCAGACGCTGGTGGACGCTTCCTTATATCTGCCTGAAGGGGGGAGCTAACTACACTGAAACTACTCTGAAACTAACACACCTACTGTACTTGTTTACAGTTGTTACAGTTGTTTCACACCTCTGGGCCTGACCTGAATATCCCTATTGTTTTCTTTCTTATGATTCAAGTAAGGAATAGCTTTAGACTACTGCAAACCATTTAAAGGTGCAATGTGTAATGTGTAATCTTGAGGGTCCATTAAATAATAAAATTCTCCATGAAGATGTTATTGCTTTGTCTTGAATGTTGAGGCAACCCTGCTCACAGTCAGAATGTCTGTTTTTCTAGGTATTTTTGAGCTATAAAACCACCTGTAATTGAATACATGTAAGGTAGATCTGTTTAATATTATATTGTGGAACATTCTAGGCAGAGCAATGACATCCATAGAAACACAAAAGTGGAAAAAATGCATAGCAAAGATTTTAAATAAGGTTTCATAAAAAATATATATATATATTAAATTAAAAAAATCTTTGTCAGATATTTTTCTTGCTCTGGACCACAGTACAACATGGGAGGTGGGATCAAGTTGTTGTTTTTGCGAGTCTCAAGTAAGTCTCAAGTCTTTGACCTCAAGTCCAAGTCAAGTCTCAAGTCACTGGCCCATAAGTCCAAGTTAAGTCCAAGTCGGCTGCTTTGAGCTTCAAGTCATTTCAAGTCTTTAGATTTTTGCAATTTATATGACTTTTTAGCTAAATTGTACTTTAAAAGTCATGGTATATTTTTATAAGAGTTGTAGAAATCCATTTTTTTTCCTTTTTAAAGATCTTAGTGTGAATCATTACAGTCAGAACAGAATGAATTCAGATTTGAGAGTGCTTAATAAGTTATTTTGTCATGTACTCTGCACGGAAATGGAAGGATCATGTTCTATGTCGTTCCCTCTATTTTCACTGTATTGTACTGTATATTACTGTAGTACATTTGAGGATACTACATAACACTACTTCAGTTACAACCAAAGTACCAAACAGAAGTGGGAGCGACATGTTCCAGGTTGTTCCTGTAAAATTCAGCACCACATTTATCAACTGTAACGAGAAAAGTATTTCCTAAAAACACGTGTATACATCGAGTCTTACGTCACAGGCCTCAAGTCTGAGTCAAGTCCCAAGTCACTGACCTTCAAGTCCAAGTCGAGTCCTAAGTCTTAGTCCATTTTATTAAGTCAAGTCTCAGGACTGACTCATGATTTCCACATATCCATAGAAACAAGCAGGTGACAAACCCCTCGACCAAAAAGTTACATAGTGCACCTTTTAAAACGAGCCAAGTCTGTGTTTCTCGATTCCAATACTGTAAAATGGTGCAGTGTCATTAATCAAAAATGTTTGTCTTTGGACCAATTATATTTAAGTGCAATATTTTGACATATGTTAGTTCAGTGCTCATTCATTAAAGCCTTCAACATTATGTCACCCCAATCATTTTTTATCTGTATTTTGGTCCCAGGCTCTAATTCATACATTTATTCCTCCCGTCACCTTTTCCGCCCCGTTCGGTGAGTGGTCTTACGGTATCCAGCTGTGTTTGTTTTGCCGCTTGTGTGAATTTGATGAATCATTACTCGGTTGGGCCATTAGAGGGGGCCGACGTGTGAAAATCAGGAGCGGAGGGGGGGGGCTCTATTGTTATGACAGCCTGGAAATAGACCAAATTAGCACGGACCACTTTTTTTTCCTAACACCTACCTCTGCTGCTACCTCTCTGCACGCTCACTCTCTGCCCAGTCATGAATCGGTCGACACCACTCTAAGGTTTCGTCCGTGTTACCGTAGCCTTTGCTTGATTTGTCCAGCTAATTTTCAGCATTTTTTATTTTTTTTTAATTTACGTTTTCCAGAGCACGGAGCAAGTGGCCGCGTTCTGCCGAAGCCTCCATGAGATGAACCCCACCGAGTGTCTGTCGTCCTCCCCCAGCCCGGATTCGCCCTACCCGCCACCCACCCCTCCCCGGCAGCTCTCGGACGCAGACAAGCTTCGTAAAGTCATCGGGGAGCTAGTGGAGACGGAGCGCACCTATGTTAAAGTGAGTAATGTTAAAATACGAGATTGTTGTCTTGGAAATGTCTCTATCTCCACCAAAAATATTGAAATATCGTTGTACTTTTCTATCATTATTGTCGGCTGCTGTTTCGATATATTGCGAAGAGGTTTTTTGGGGGGTTTTTTGTATATATTTTTCGCAGTTTTTTTGACTGTACTACAATTTTGTTGCTTGCTTATTTATTTATTTAGTTATTTAGTTATTTATTTATTTGAGACTTAGTGACCTGAGACTTTAGATTTAGTGGACAGAAATTTTTTAATGCAATACACTAGGGATGTAACGATATCCAACTCTTTCAATATGATACTTCCACGATATGCATCTCACAGTTCGATATTTATTACGATATTTTGTGGAGGAAAACGAAATTGTGAATGCTACTTTTTCCTTTTAAAATACCTTGGCTAGACTTTGGTTCTGTCATAATCTAAATAATTAAGATTTAAAAGTGCTTCTATCATTTATTTCTTCTGTAATTGTCACTGAAACTGAGCAAAGGATCATGGTCTATGTTGTTCCCTTGTTTGTTTGGGTTTTTTTTTTTAGCTATAAACGCTCGATATGTGTCCAAGTATAGTATCTAAGATTTGATATATTTGACGGTAAATATGCAGTTAAAAAAGCCACTAAGTGACCATGCATTTATTTTGAGCATTTTTACACTTTTAGGAAAGTTAGAAAATCTGTCTCACGAGTTATTTGCTTCTTAAGTTAACAACACATTTATTTTCTTTTAAACACGGTGGCCAAAAAAAAAAAAAATGAAAAAAACTGTTGAGGCGTGAGTCTTTGCTGGTCGAAAATTAGAGACAGACTGTTATATCACTTGGCCAATATTAGAGTTTTTAGCGTATCTGCTTTAGGACTGAAATCCGTTATAAGGCTGTTATTTAGTTTGGCCCAATTGGTTGCCTAATAATGCATGAAAAATACTTGCATTAAGCTTTATTTGAACACTTTGTCTAAAGAGGATATTGCAAAAATGAGACTTCACTGCTCAGTTTGTAGAAAAACGGGGCTGTGGAGGAGTTCGTACTGAATTCTAATCATATAATTTGGGGAAAAATACTAAAATCTGTCTCTATCTTTAATCTCGATGGAAAATTATGAGTTGAATGCTTCTCCTATTGTAATCTGAGTACACTATATGCACTACATTAAGAAATGTTGTAAATCATTTTGCAGTTGTGCTGGTCTTATTTAGAAAAAATACAATAACAACTCCCCTAGTCTAAATTCCCCTGGAAATCCACTTGTAATCAGATTAGGCCATTTTAGGATCACCAAAAAAAACAAACCAAAAAAAAGCAGATACTAATGGATAATAAAACTAGTATTGAAACTAGATATTTGAGCATATTTCAATATTCTGTGTTGTTCCTGCCTGAAAAAATTATTTCCTTCAGGATAATAAAGTATTATCTATGAAACTATCTATCTCTGTCTCTCTCTCTTCCTCTATTTCTGTGTCTGTCTCTCTTTCCGTCTCTTTTTGTTACTGGCTCTGTTTCTCTCTCTTTCTCTCTTTCTGTCCATCTCTTTTTATCTCTTTGTCTCGCTCTCTTTCTGTCTCTTTTTGTTTCTCTCTGTCCCTCTCCTTTTTGTCTCTCTCTCTCTCTGTCTGTCTGTCTCTTGTTTCTCTCTCTCTCTCTCTTTCTCTCTGCCTCTCTTTTTTTGTCTCTGTCTCTCTCTTTCTGTCTGTCTCTCTCTTTATGTTTCTCTGTCTATATCAGTCAATTCCTCAGTAGTCTTTAAATGCTCCTGGATCTCCTGTATATCACAAATGGTAGAAGACCACATCATAATATTAAAACGCATAAAACCAATAATTACTCTTGCCAAAACAACACTGAATCATTACAAAACCATCTGGAATCCATTTATACAACATACAGATCATACCACTGTACGTACAGTGTATAAAAGCGCCATGGCTGCCAGCTTTACTTGTATGAATCCTACACATGTTACCCCCGTGAGTGATCTGATCTGTCCCAGGGGAGCGGGTGGACGGGGGGGACGCAGCTGTACCCTCGCCTGGATAATGCCTCATCTCGTGTAGAAAAGGAGCGCACCCTAACGAGGTTACAGCAGGTACGGGTGGGATAATGTTGTGGCTCATCGGACTGGGCCCTTAATCCTGTTTTAAAATGATGGACAGGCTGGAATACATCGTGCCATTGTGTCTCCTTAATGCGCTGCTTTGATTTGTTTTGTGCACTGCTGCTATTTATCTCAATTTGACGCACCATAGATTGGAATGTACTAAATAGATCACTGGTACGATTCAAGATTTATAACTCGATTACTGTGCTAACAAGAAGAACAAGAAGCAAAAGGCAATTACTGTTCAAGTTAGGAGACATCTTTATTTTATTATCTTGTGTCAGGATGTCTTGTCCGTGATAGTAATGGCCTGTGTTCTAGTGATGTATACAGTTCGAATAAGGTTAAATCAAGATTATTACATTATCAACTCATGCAAAAATACTAAAGTTAAACGCAAAGGATGAAGAGAAAAGGTAGAGCGCTTCACTGGGTCATAAAGAAAGTTAAAAAATAGCAGTACAGGTGCTCTACGAAGATTAATTTTCTCAACAGAATGTAGGCCTTACTGGAAAATGTAAAAGTGGACATGGTACAAAACCAAGGCACAGCGACTGAATATATTAAAAGATCTTTGTTAGCCAGGCTGGCGCCATCTAGTGCCTCCACTCAATTTCATTTCTCTCCAGCCACTAGGTCAGGAACCCCGAAAGTGCGAGTTCAGGCACCAGTCAAACAGCGAAGAGCCATACATTCTGTGTTGGCAACGATTCCCGAGATCGAGGATTTAAAGCCGGAACAAAGAGAATGTTTGGTGAATTTGATCAAGGGGAAAGACGTTATTGCCCTTCTTCCTACAGGATTTGGGAAAAGCTTAATATACCAGTTAGCCCCGTTAGCGGCGTATTACATACATCACGACCAAATAGCAGCGATTGGTTAAATAAAAAAAGGTACCCGCCTACTGTCGAGCGAATGAATCCTAATGCTCAGATGGTCAGACAGTTTCCACTAAGTGAAATCGGCTGATGAATCAGGCTAGATCTTCGTCAGGGCATAAGGCAAAAATGCAGGAGTTCTATTCTGTTCTAAAAATGTCACAGTACAATCTTTTTATCACAATTTTGATTTGGTTTAGTCTGAAATCTTCTAAGGATGTTTTACCATCAACTAAAGACAGTTTATTTCTAAAACATGTGAACTAATTCTTTAGCCAGGCTGGAGCAACCTAGTGCCTCCGTTCAATTAAATTTCTCTCCAGCAACTTGGTCAGGAATCAGAATACACTAGACGGTTTACAAAAATCTCGGAAGTTGTAGACCGCACACCGGCCAATCAGCAAATCAAGCAAAGAGCTGATTGTAGACCATACATCGCCTACCGTCGAGAGAACGAATCCTAATGTTGCGAGATCAGACTGTTTCATTTGGACCATTCTCCCCAAAAACATGATTTGAAATTACTACTAGCATAAATATTGTCTCTACTTTTTACTGCACTGCATAATTAAACAATAAAAAGGAAAAATAACTCCAATAGAAATTCTTTTTTAGATGCCCACAGCCCTGTTTTTACTGCCAACCCATAATGGAGCAGTATAATCTCATTTTGTGAATGCCATCGTCGGACTAAAGTGTTCAAACAAAGCTTTATGTAGCAACTGGTGAGCCCAAACCAAATATCACCCCAGATTTAAGGAGATTTAAGGTCGATATTCAATATGCAACAAAGTACAACTATTGGACAACCAATCATGGGAATGTAACGATATCCAAATCTCACGGTACTATTTTTATTCCGATATTTTTGAGAAGCTAACAGAATTGTGAATATGATCCTTTTCTCTTTGAAAATTCCTGTCGTCATCGAAAGAAATGAAATGAAGCAAAGGATCGTGGTCTATATTGTTTCCTCTTTAATCTAAATACTTTTAAGCAAATTGAAATTGGTGTTGTGCATCAAAATTTTACACCATGACACTAATCGGTATAAGTAGTGCATTATTAATTTTTGTTTTGTTTGTTTGTTTTACTATTATTTACATCATACAATTTTCATTTCAAATCCAGGCTTCTTTATAGATAACACAGTGACTTTCAAACCTCCCACTCCCATCAGTACGTTGACTTCATTCATAGCTCTTGTGTAAACTCTTGTGTTTATTTAGCTTTATCCTGTTCCCTCTCCTACGCAGCGCTGAACTAACTGTATTATCCTCTGCTTTGTTTGTCCTCAGGATCTCAACTGTCTCATAGGGAGGTACCTGACCCCACTGCAGAAGGAAAGCTTTCTAACACAAGATGAGGTACGTGCAAAAATACAAGGACAGCAAGAGCAATCGCAATCCAATCGAAATTGCTTTTTGTTTGAATAGGCAAATCGCAACAACTGTAGTTTTTAGAACCACAAAACTGCTAACCCGTGTAGTTTAGATCTGTACAAAAAAGTAACTACTAATCAGTACAGATACTTATTTGAGCAAGTATCGATATTAAAAATCATATTCACCGGACCTTTCCTGAATAACTTTAATTATTAGTAGTTATTAGTAATTATCGTTATTAGTAGTTAGTAAGTATAAGAGCACATAGACTAGTATGCCCATGGACCACTGAAGGACTGCACAGATATAAGACCACATGGGATAGAGCTGCTCGATTATAGGGGAAAAAAAAAAATCATTATCACAATTATTTTGGTCAATATTGAAATCACAGTTATTCAAACGATTATTTTTTAGTTACAAAATACATTTATTCAGAATTTATCTCTCAAAAAAACACTTTGTTATTGATAATTTACGCAAAACTTTCAAATTGGAAATAAATATAGGCTACAAATATGAACCTTAGAGCAGTTTTGCGATGTATGAAACATAAAATGAATAAAATATTCTTTGAACATGAAATAAAGCATAGAAAAACATAAATGTATCCAAAATAAACTATATATTCAGCTGTTCTGCAATCTCTATATTTAAAACATTTAATAAAAATACTTATTTATATAAAAAAGAGCCCAAAATAAACTTTTGTTAAGCTTTAGGGCGCACTCACATTGAACAACCATCCCACACTTCCTTACTTGGGCACAGCTCTGAAGTCCTAGTGTGAGAGCACCCTAAATCGTTTCAAGACGATTATGAGTTTGAAGATTCGCGATCAAAATTCGATCAATTGCACAGTCCTAACAAGGGAATATAGAAGAAAGTACTACTATTTAATGTTGCAAATTACATTCTACTGTCTAAATGTGTCTGTTTTTTTAATCATTGTGGTATCAGAATCGGCATTAAAGGTTGTATGGAGGATTTTTTTTTTGTTTCAAATTGTCAATGAAAGTTTAAAATATCATTACAGAGACGCAGCAGCCTTGTAATTATGATGAACAAAAAAAAAAAAGAATGAAAATCTATCAACTGTGGACGTGTTGAGGCCAGAGAAACATCAGCCAATAGAAAACGAGGCTCCCTCATTTTCTATTGGCTGTTAGGTTGTCAATCAAACTCCCTAGTGTAACTGACTCTCGGGGGATTACGTGGTTTATGCAGCGGTTCTTAGAGGCTTTTTTAAACTGTAGCTTCCTCCCAGTTCGCACAAAGTTTGTTGCGATGTCGGACGAGAATCCACGACCGGTTCGCCGCAAGAGAAAGTCAGTTTTTGAGGTCGCTGAAAGAAGAGGAGGAGATAAGGAGCAAAACCAAACTGAGGTGATTCTTGGAGATCTCGTCCAGCGATGGCGCGAATGAAGCAGACAAAGGGTCTAAAAACTAACGTGTCGGTCGCTAAATTATTGCTAGGCAGGTCACTTCAACAGTGATTCTGAACGTGCACCGGCTGTAAACAAACGTGATTTCTAGAGTAAAGAGGCGGGAGGAGATGTTTCTACTGAGGAGCTGTGGAGGAGGAAGGTGGTGTCACGGATGCACAACATTTGAAAAAGAACTGTTGCTGTATTTCTCTTCCTTTAAAAAATCCTCTATACAACCTTTAAGTCTGTGCCTTAGTATTGAGTTTGAAATTTTAGTATCGTGAACACTAGTAGAAGCACAAGTACACACTAGTATTTCAGTCTTTGTCAGTTCTTTTGTTTAAAATTTGATCTTTGAACAGAATCCTATTATTAAAACATAAATCATAAATCAAATCTATTGTAATGCTATAGAAACATCATTTTTTCCTTACATAAAGCCTTATTCTATGTATCTAGACTGCACAGCAAGCCTTGAGGAGAGATGGTTCTGTTATTCGAAATGCCAGGGCTGTTGAAAGAATAAAGTGGCTTACATAACAATTGTGTGGTAGTGCTGTAGGACGGGAGCAGGTGATGAGTAGAAAACACAGATTTTGACAGTCATGTTTTGCCTTGGTTTTTTTAAAATTTGAAGGTTGCGTAACACTTGACAGTTGTATCGGAAAAACAAAATGAGAAAAAAAAAGGAAAAAAAACTGTTGACACCTGTTGGAGTGATAATGAAATGCCACTGCGGTTGTCTCTTTCCAGCTGGACGTGCTGTTTGGGAATCTGCCCGAGATGGTGGAGTTCCAAGTGGAGTTTCTGAAAACGCTGGAAGACGGGACCAGGCTGGTGCCAGATCTGGAGAAGCTGGAGAGGGTCGAGCAGTTTAAGGTGAGTGGTATGGGGTTGTCTGGCTTTTATTTACATTTTTTTTCAGGCGACAGTTGTAGTGATCAGAAGGTTGGCGGTTTGTATCCTGATCTCTACATAAAACATCACTGGTTGAGCAGTCAGATCCACTGACCCACAGGTTGGCGATGCGATTCCACCTCACACAGATGAATGCTGCTGTTGTGTCCTTGGGCAAGACACTTAACCCACCTCTCTCCTAGTGTCACTGGTGTGTGAATGTGTGAGTGGTTCTTTGATGTAAAGAACTCTGAGTGCCTTAAACCTTTTCTGGGGGCCCATATTTTAAACATCACAAATCTTCGCGACCCAAGTCAATAAACATTATTCATAAATCACAAAATAAAGGTGGATTTGATCATTATTGAACATTAATGGGGATATTTTATTGTTGACTGAGTGATCGTGTCTCTCTGAACAATTAGTATTACTCAAGTTTAAAACAAGGAAAAACAGTAATCATTGTTGCACACAGAAAATTGGTTAAAAAGTGAAGAGCAGGGGCAACCCCAAAAAAATTTTCTTGCGACCCAGTCTTTGGGAAACAGTGGCTTAAAGGTGAAAAAGCGTTGTATAAAAATGTGACTATTAACCTTTTTTATTTTATTTAGTTATTTAAAATTATTATTATTTATTTATTTAAATTTAAAAATTTAATTTCAAAATTAGAGCTGCTGGAAAAAATGATCAAAAGATGATTAACTGTACACCCTTGCGCAAGATGGTCAAGTTTAAAGTAGTACTGTGGAACATTCCAGGCAAAGCAATAACATCTCCATGAAGAAAATGTGGTGGACCAGACCCCCCAACTAGAAAAGTTCCATAATGTCTGCACATATTTATGAATGTTGCCAAAATATACCAACCTCTTGTCCTAAAATGTCCTCAAAATGGCAGGACTGTCATCTTTGTGGAATTAATGGCTGACAAAAATCCATTGCCATGTCTCACTACTCTTCCACCAAGTTTGGATACTGTTCTGAATGTCTAATGACTGCTTTCCCACGTACAGATAGACTTAAAATATGGAAGGGGCAGAATAAAAGTGCAGTCAGCCCAGGCTAATCTCTGGAGTCATGAGTCAGGGCCAAACTGCACAGTGGGCTTTCATTTGGAGCTTGTGTGTGCTGCAGTGACATGTTGTGACAGTCAGGGAGGTTAGCTGGCAGTAATTACCGGATTGTCAAAAAGTTCCGAAAGGTCGCAAAGTCTTCTCGAACTTTTTAGGGAGTTTTGAGATCTGTATTGGTATGTTTAAGTGGTAGAAAATGTTATGTGTCCCGAAAGTTACTTAAAGGGCACTTATTACGCTTTTTACCTCATCACAAACAAACCTGGAGTTGGAGATTTGGATACTTTTAGCCCTGAAATTGCCTGTCTCTACTCGAAAAAGGTAAAAAGTAGCTGTTAACTTGAACAATGACGCTAAGTGACATCACAAGGTGGTACATACAGGACCTTTAAAGGAGCTGCATCTGATTTTTACCGTCACACCTGTGGTCTTTCATGACAAAAATGTACACCAGAAAATAATACCATATTATTTTCATGCAGTATGTATTTTTTGTCTTTATTTACTTCTGCCCTAATCATACATACCAAATAATATATAATTTTTTGGAAATTTTAGCCCCTTAAATGTCAGTTTTGTAGGCGAAAGTCTCAAATTATGTGCATGAAAAAAATCTAAAATTTGATATATATATATTTTTTGTATCTTGTCTAATCATTTTAATTTATTTGTGTGGATAATCAGAGGCTGGGAGCTCCTCTAGAACACATCTATATAATTTTAACCTCAAATATCTACGTCTCTGTCCTACTGTGTCGACTAATATGTATAAATGTCTTTCCATTAATATAACCTTATAATGGAGGATACACAGAAAAAGAAAAATTTCTAAAAATTCAAAAGACAGTAAAACAAAAAATTATGAAGGGTTTTCAACACCAAAGAATGAAAAATAAATTAAAAAGTAAAAATATTCTGGTAAAGTTATGAGAATATAAAAAGAATTTGAATGGAAGTCAATGGGAAAAAAATGTACCTAAGGACCATGGGTGTGAGTATTTTGATTATAGACAATTTAATTAATGTGATCTTAAAACAAAACAAAAAACATAGAAGATTAAAAATACACCACAAAATGCACAAACTGGCCAATTTTGGTGCTATTTGGTACAATATAGCCAAGGTTATGCAAAAAAAGAAGTTGAGATGTACAAAAATGTGAAAAACAAGACTAGTTGATTTTGGTTTGCAGTGGTCCAAAGTTATTCTTCACTCACCTTTTATTCTGATTACTCACTACAATAAGTATAAAAGCACTTTTCATAATTCTTCAAAGTTTTGCGGTAACGGTAACATATACAACTAGCATGCCAACACACACCTCCTGATTATCGGACAATAAAATGCTGTATAAGTCGACACAGCGAACTTGAACTGCTTATACAATAAAAATGCTTATGTACAGGCCTTTTAAAGATGCACTGGGTTACTTTTTTGAATGGGGATCCTCCATGGAGACGTTATTACCTGGAATGTTCCATGGTATGGCATTAAACATCTATCTAATTACATCTATTTAATTAAATGACATCTTATTGCTCCGATATCTTGAATAACATGGATTGTTTGACCAGTAATTTGCCTCCTGCCTGTCTGACGAAGGGAGTAATGCTTAATGCCGTACAGTGGAACATTAACCTCATACTGTATGTTAATCCTACATCTTTAATCTGTTTATTTGTGAAATGCCAGTCTACTTGACATTTCCATACCTTGATTGTAACCTATGGAACACTTGACATTTTCGATGGCATTATGTTTGGTGGCTAAAATGAATTGTGCAGGTGTGACAAAGAATAATTGTCAGAGATGAAAAGATGAATGAACAGAAGCGCGTTACATAAGAGTTTTACAGAGAAATCACATTGTACAGAGGAAATGTTAAGAGTTATATGCCAAGAGACAAGTCAATATTGCTGCTGACATTTCTACTTTTATTGTGTTTTTCCAATTGTCCTGAATAAAACGTGTGTAAGAGAATAAAACTCCAGTCGCATTCTCTGGACAACAATCCTGGCGTAAGATCTGGAGTACTCAGTTTTATTACAGATGCATTCTGTCTGTCAAATACTTTGCTATTCCTTTGTCTGGAAAGTTTCCCAGTATGGCATTAAAGCTTTCTATCTTCATGGAGACCAAACCAGACAAGTTACAGGTCAGATCTGTGGAGAGGCGACCCCGCTCACAGTCAGAATGTCTGTTTTTCTAAGTGTTTGAGCTCTAAAACCATCTGTAATTAAATAAATGTAAAGTAGAGCTGTTTAATGTCATACTGTAGAACATTCCAGACAATGCAATGACATACAGTATCCATAGAAACAAGCAGGTGACGGACCCATAACCAAAGAGTTACATAGCACACCTTTAGGTAAAAGTACAGATACAGAGACTAAAAGTTACTCAAGTAAAAGCATCACATGACAAAATCCAAGTATTGAAGTACCTATTTTAGTTTTTACTCTTAGGGCCTGTTTACACGAGAACGCTTGGGGGTAAAAACGACAAAATATTTTATCGGAAGTGCCTTTTGTTTAGACTGGTGACAGCATTTTGGGGGCTTAAAAACACAAAAATCTGAAACCACCCTCCAGAGAGGAAAAGCTGAATACGCTCCGTCGTAGCGTTTCCGTGTACACTGCCCAAGACGCAAAATTCTGGTCAGATCTGCTCACGTCTCGTATGCGTTTGTCACATACATCACCACCTCACATCACCACCGAGCCGCCTGGCATGCATACCCAATCAAATTCCACACACTTTTGTGTCACCGTATGCACGCAGATTTCCTCCCAGAAATGCTCGTCTAAACATGGAATAAAAAGTGAAGTCGCGGCACCACTTTTACGTCTTCTGTTCAGACCGTCATCATATAAACGTAGCCTTAAAGTAAAAATCTTTTGAGTATCTTGCATAGATTTGCGACAGATTGCCATTTGCAACAGTTTCAGGATGACATGTAGTGATTTTGTTCTAATGTTCTAAAATGTAGTGAAGTAAAAGTAAAAAGTATCTGCTGTAAAATTTACTTAAGTACTTTTTTCTTTGGTATCTGAACATAAGTACTGTACTGCATTACAACTAAATAATAGATATAGAGACCTGCAATATAGATTCACAATATACTTAAAAATCTGCATGACAAACTGAAATTTGTCCTCTTACCTGTTCCCAGTACTTCATAAATACTCCATAAATTATGCCTATCCTTTATTAAGATTCAATAGATAGACTTCAGTAGAGTCAATAGTCAAAATTTTTCTGCATTTTATAATTTTAAATGTACATATTTGACCTCTGACTGAACTTCAAAACTTTTTATCTTCTTAAACCATTACATAACTTGTATTTATTTGTTGTTACAGAAAATTCTCTTCTCGCTGGGCGGCTCATTCCTCTACTACGCAGACCGTTTTAAGATCTACAGCGCCTTCTGTGCCAGCCACACCAAAGTCCCCAAGGTCCTGGCTAAGGGTGAGTGAACGTAACGTCTCCTCTCCTCTCTGATTCTGCTCCTGGGTCAAAGTAAGACATGGGCTTATCTGTGAAGCATCTGCCACAGCTCTAAGTGCTCCGTAAATGTGCAGCTTTGCGTGTCACTTGAGAGTCGCCTGAGGAGTGCTCCGTTTGGTTTCTGCAGGATTTCATGGTTTTAAGTAGTTTGTTTTGGCTGTGGCTGCTAAACCAGTGTGTCATGTTTTTGTTTTAGAACTTGTTTAGGACTGTGATTAAAAAAATATTAAGAAATGTATGCCAACTACGTGTGGAATGTTTATTATTTATTGGTATTCTTGCTCTTATTTGCTTTTACGAGCTTAACAAGGATTAGTGGAGTTAAGTAGAGCTTTATTTTATTTCTATTGGATATGTTTTATTTGTTTTGTGGAGCACTTTGGCAACAGTTTTTATGAAATGTGGTATATAAATAAATTGGATTGGACTGGATCTAGGGCTTCCAGGTTTTCATTTTTTACAGTTCAAATTGTGAACAAATAGACTACACTCATTTCTGTTAATCATGATTCAGAGGTATTAGACATAATACTGGGGGTGAGTGATATGAGAAAAAAAAATAAAGCATAATTTTCTTGGAGCCCTCTTCCAATTTTCGTTTTTTATTTTTATTTATTTGTATTTTTAGGTTTATTTATTTAAAAGGGACGGTGCATTTTCATGATCTGTCAGTGACAATTCATAGGACAAACATGATAGAAATGGCACAGTAAGACACAATCATGACATACAACAGTGACATTTACATAGAAGCATAATATTAGTGGTCACAGATCTGGTTTCTCTTAAATCATCATTTCAGATTGGTTTTAAATGTACTGGAGGTGGTAGAGTCTCTGGGATGTTGTTCCAGATTTCTGTACCCTTGACTGATATTACCCTAGACTTTTATTACACTTAGTTTAAACTTTAAGCTTTATCTCGCCTTGAAGAGTTAACTAAAGTCATCTGCCTCTGTAAGATCACACTTCACTGTAACTGGTTAAATCCCCTTGTCACTCACGCAGTAGCTGACTAATTGGAGGTGTGTTTGGGGAAAACTGATGTGTCACTATATGTGGATTAATTTTTTACTGCCATATCGGGGAGCTCTACATGACATCTTTACGATGTTGAAAATTGTACTTCATATGATACAATTTGTCTTATTTGCTCAACACCAACTCTATAGTTCTTAAAGCTTCATTGTGTAACTTCTGGTGGAGGTCAAATGCTTTTATTTGTGGAGATGTTATTGCTTTGTCTAGAATGTTTCACAGTATGATTTTAAACATGTTTATCTTCATGGAGACCAAACTAGACAATGTTACGGGTCAGATCTGTGGAAAATAACACCACTCACAGTCTGAATGTCTGTTTTTCTTGGTATTTTTGAGCTATAAAACCACCTGCAATTGAATAAATGTTAAGGTAGAGCTGTTTAATTGAACATATTGTGGAACATTTGAGGCAGAGCAATGACATATCCATATAAACAAGCAGGTAACGGACCTGTGCATCTTTAAAGTTATTGTACAAAGTGATTTATAAATGACATAGTGAGGATAGGATCTACATATGTGTGATGAGTTATAATGCTTATATGCCTCCTCTGTGCAGCCAAATCAGACCCAGACTTCAAGGCCTTTCTCGACGAGAGGAACCCCAAACAGCAGCACTCGTCCACCCTGGAGTCGTACCTGATCAAGCCCATTCAGAGGGTGCTCAAGTACCCCCTCCTGCTCAAAGAACTCTACTCCCTCACAGACCCGGACAGTGAGGAGCACTACCACCTGGATGGTAAATGTCTTATGGTCTAATATGGGCAGAATGTGGGTTTTAAATGTCTTGTATTATGATGTACAGTAGTTGAAGCTGTTTTGGTCCTATATTTGACAAAATTGACGCTTCAAGCCATGTTACAATTAGGGCTGGGTGTCATTAAGAAGTTGTCGATACGATACATAGGCCACGATATGAAACATACCTTGATACAGTGCACTTTCGATTCGATATATTTCAAAACGATTTGATACGGTTCAATAAAACATAAAGGCAATCATGGCTCTTATATTAAAAGTCTTTGTTAAACCACTTCTTGTGCAAAGTTAATATGAAAAAAGCCCATTTTAATCATCAAAACAGTGAAAATGTCAAATGTTTTGAGTTTCCTTCCTCTAAACAAGCAATAAAACTGTAGCGCTGTAACAAATAATTTAGTAAAATACACCAAAAAATTGTCTCAGCGATATAGCGATACAACAGCCCACGATATCGATACTGTATCATCACTTTAAACGATACTATATACCGATATTTCTGTATTTTTGCACACCTGTAGTTACAATGTTGTTACCTCCGCAAAAACATTTCTGGAGTTTTTTTTTTTTGTTTCATTCACACATCTTTGAGTAATCCTGCATTATTAGTCTGTCTACATCTCTAAAGCTCAAAATGCTCTGTTCCAAATTGTGATGTCACGAAGTAGTAGTTTTCAAGTTCACAGCTACCTTTTATCTTTAGTTCAGCAGAGATCGGCAATTCCAGAGCTGAAATTATCCAAATGATTGTAGTGAAGGTGTATAGAGTGGAGCACTTCCTGTATTACCACATGACATCACAAGTTGGAACAAAGTTTTCTGTTTGAGAGAAGAATACAGCCTAAATATGCAGGCTTTGTGTGTTAAACGTGTGAATGAAACAAAACACAACTCCAGGTCTGTTTGTGATGAGGAAACATTATAACATAAATGAGGAAATAGCGATTTAACATATTTTACTATCATTCCTTGGAGGACAAAACCCACTTCAGAAGCCTGATCATGTGGTGCTCTATTTCTTTGCAGTTGCTATGAAAGCGAATGAACAAAGTGGCCAGCCATATCAACGAAATGCAGAAGATCCACGAGGAGTTTGGGGCCGTCTTCGATCAACTCATCACAGAGCAGATCGGGGAGAAGAAAGAGGTAAGCATTTATATGAAATCCATTTATATTATTTTATTTTTAGCAGTAAATTTGCATTAATTTATTTATTTTACTCTACATTGACTATGTTTTGTTGTTTTTTAGGTCGCAGATCTGTCCATGGGAGATCTCTTACTGCACACTACAGTCACATGGCTCAACCCTCCAGCCTCGTTGGGAAAGTGGAAAAAAGAACCACAGATGGCTACATTCGGTACATAAGAACTCTCCACTTAGACTTAAACAAACTTTCATGATCCACAAGGGAAATTATTTGGATGCAGTCGCTCATACATCATAATATATTATAATGACAAAGAGAAAAAAATATATGTACAAGTAAAAATAAAAGAACATGGAAATAAATAATAAAAATATCTCAACAATATACAAGAGGTCAAATAGAGAACAGTGCAAATTGACAGGACATAGCATTGTCTGTTTCATAAGGGTGAGTTGTTGTACAGTTGTAGGGAGTATTATCTGTTTCATAAGGGTGAGTTGTTGTACAGTTGTAGGGAGTATTATCTGTTACATAAGGGTGAGTTGTTGTACAGTTGTAGGGAGTATTATCTGTTACATAAGGGTGAGTTGTTGTACAGTTGTAGGGAGTATTATCTGTTACATAAGGGTGAGTTGTACAGTTGTAGGGAGTATTATCTGTTACATAAGGGTAAGTTGTTGTACAGTTGTAGGGAGTATTATCTGTTACATAAGGGTGAGTTGTTGTACAGTTGTAGGGAGTATTATCTGTTACATAAAGGGTGAGTTGTTGTACAGTTGTAGGGAGTATTATCTGTTACATAAGGGGTGAGTTGTTGTACAGTTGTAGGGAGTATTATCTGTTACATAAGGTGAGTTGTTGTACAGTTGTTGTAGGGAGTATTATCTGTTACATAAGGGTGAGTTGTTGTACAGTTGTAGGGAGTATTATCTGTTACATAAGGGTGAGTTGTTGTACAGTTGTAGGGAGTATTATCTGTTACATAAGGGTGAGTTGTTGTAGGGAGTATTATCTGTTACATAAGGGTGAGTTGTTGTACAGTTGTAGGGAGTATTATCTGTTACATAAGGGTGAGTTGTTGTACAGTTGTAGGGAGTATTATCTGTTACATAAAGGGTGAGTTGTTGTAGGAGTATTATCTGTTACATAAGGTGAGTTGTTGTAGTTGTAGGGAGTATTATCTGTTACATAAGGGTGAGTTGTTGTAGGGAGTATTATCTGTTACATAAGGGTGAGTTGTTGTACAGTTGTAGGGAGTATTATCTGTTACATAAGGGTGAGTTGTTGTAGGGAGTATTATCTGTTACATAAGGGTGAGTTGTTGTACAGTTGTAGGGAGTATTATCCGTTACATAAGGGTGAGTTGTTGTATAGTTGTAGGGAGTATTATCTCCTCTGTCCCTCTATAGTCTGTTGCAGTGGGTGAGCAGGAGTGTCCATGATGGAGAGCAGTTTGTCCAGTGTCGTCCTGTTCTCCTTCACTGTGACAAATGTTCATATGAAAAATCACTGTAGAGAGATTATTATTAGTTACCCTTTTATCATTTCCATCCAGTGTTCAAGACGGCAGTGGTCTTTGTCTGCAAGGATGGGTCCAAACAGAAAAAGAAAATGGTAAGTTTCACATTGATGTAGTCACTGTTCTGAATAACTTTGCCCTAATTTAGTCAGAATTGGTACACCAGACCTGTTATTCTAGTTTACTCTATTTAGTCTATTTAAAGGACCCATAATACTCTATTTTCTGATCTATGTTATCAGGTTGTTTCCTCATCACAAACAGACCTGGAGTTGTGTTTTGTTTTTTTTTCATTCGAGCATGTTTAACGCATAAACCCTGCATATTTAGACTGAGTTCTTCTCTTCCATCTTGTGTTGATACTATAGGATGTGCTCCACTGTGTTTTTAAACTCCATTCACCTTTTTGTGTGCATTCAGGGAGGCACGCACAGAGTGTCCATGTCTTCCGAGGACAAGGACCCCTTCCGCTACCGCCACATGATTCCCACCAACTCTCTTCAAGTGCGCTCCTTGGCGAATGCAGGTACTGGAATACTACAAGTACAATAACTTCTTGGGTTCTTTATAAAGACAATAAAGTAGGAGATATATTTACTTTGGTGAGATGTTCCAGCTGCAAGTCATCTTCAGAACTGTCACTGTGTCGTATATTGGGTGTTGTTACTTCTGATGGACCTGACAGGTTTCTCAGGCTGACTACGTATCCTGTCGCCCAGTGGCCTGTGGAGGAGGTGGTCCCAGGTGTGTGAAAGGAGGAACGCTCTGTCATCACGGTTGATTGTGTCCGTGCGGGGTTCCATGATTCCAATGGCCTCCTTGATCCAGCGTTTGAACTAGTTGTTCTCCGATCCAATGACCCAACCCCCTTTCCAATCCATAATGAGGTTATTCCGTAGCGTTCCTTCTTTCACACGCCTGGTACGCCCTCCTCTAGACACCACCAGGCCCTCACAGGTCTATCAGACTGCAACAACACAGGAAGTAACAACAGCTGATATACGACACATCACCACAAACCCCGGTGACAGTTCTGAAGATGGCTTGCAGCTAGCAGCCGAAATATGTCAACAAGATAAATACATCTGTTATTGTATTGTCTTTAAAAAGAACCCAAGAAGTTAATGTTCAAAAGAAAACAAAATGAACGTTTTAGGACTACAAGAAGTGTTTTATTTGGCTGTGTTTGCTTGTGTGTGCATATATATAGGATTTGCTGTGACTGATGAAATGGAAAAATGCTGTTTTGTGTCTGTACAGATGGTGAGGGCTCGGCCGTCTGTGAGATCGTCCACACTAAATCAGAGTCAGAGGGTCGTCCGGAGAGGGCCTTTCAGCTCTGTTGCAGGTGAGGAGTAAGGCTGGGAATCACTGTCCCTCACGATTCAATACGATACATGATACATAGCTCACGATACAATATTATCACAATATACCAATACATGCAATAATATTGTACATGATACTCTGTGATATGTTGCTGTTTTTTAAAGAACCAAATACATTCAGCAACAATATCATCTTTGTTAAACCACCACTTGTGCAAAGTGAATAAGAAATACATATATTTTAATCATCAAATCAGTGAATATGTCAAGTGTATTACATAAACTGGTTTCCTGTGCTTACTGCTTTCAGACAACTAAGTAATAGCACTGTACAATATGAGAAAAGTACTGTATTTTTCTGACTATAAAACGCACCGAATTATAAGGCGCAATAGCAATAATGTTGCATTCTCTCATCTATTTTTATACATAAGGTGCACTGGATTATAAGGCGCATTGAGCGAAACAAACGGACAACACTTGAGACTAATCCCTTAGCCAAGGCGTCCACGATTGATTGGCAGATCGTGACGTAATTCGCCCGGCGTTGCCTCCCTGTCTTTTTGAATGTGTATTATGAATGTGAATGTGGGTGGATCATTTAAGTTTTAAGTCATTTAAGAGGACTCAAATATACACTGAGTAATAATGTGTTTAATGCAGTTTTGTGCACATTTGTTTATGTTTTACAGAAATTAAGCTTAAAACCACATGGCTAATTTGCATAAACTATAAGCGATAAAAAAATAGCTCACTCCTTGTGCACTGATGCGGTCAGCTTCTGTCTGACCAAAGGACATGACTCAGTGGAATATGAGTGTTCTTTCTGTGGGCAGCAGTGTGCATTGAGTCGACACAGAACTATACTTCACCCTTTACTCCGCGAGGCTCCTGACTACAGTAGCCGTAAAATGCTTTGACAATCCATCAAGTGGTGCAGCTTTGTAGTTTACCAAAGACGTACTAAAACATTTTGACAGATTTTTGAGCACCGTGTACCATGTAAAATTGGTTCGAGGTTAGTAAGCACAACCAGAATTAATACATAAGGCACACTGTCGATTTTTGAGAGAATTAAAGGATTTTAAGTGTGCCTTATAGTCTGAAAAATACAGTATACTCAATAGATATGTTTTGACAACACTGTTCGTAGATTTGAAATTAAAATAAAAAATAAGCATTATACTCAACATTATCAGAAAATCAGAACTTAAAACATTTTTTAGCTGTGAATCAAATGTGTCATTAAGTGGAAGGAAGGAGTAAACCTGAGGGAGGCTCCAGGAGCAGACATCAGATAAAAGAATCAAACTTTATTGGTCTCAGTGAGGAGTTTATATCCTCTCTTCTCGCTTTGTCTCCTCTGTGGGCGGGACTTCCTCACCCATTTCCTGCAGAATCAAGGAGAAAGAAGCGTGAAAAGAGAAATGAGACGTGGCCACGGTTTGAATTGGGTCCCTTTAACACCACCTTTACTCTGTCTCTCCTCAGTTCCCCAGAGAGCAGGAAAGAGTTTGTGAAGTCTGTGCACTCCATCCTGAGGGAGAAGCACAGGAGACAGCTGCTGAAGACTGAGAGCCTGCCCCTGAGCCAGCAGTACGTGCCCTTCGGAGGGAAGCGCCTGTGTGCCCTCAAGGGAGCCAGGCCCGTCATAAATAGAGCAGGTACATGTTCCCTACGCCCTACAGCGCCAGTGCCCTCATTCACTGTTCTACTTCACTGACGATCACCTGGCGCACAAGGCTGGCTTTACTTCACTAAGACATTCAAGTTACTGCTCCATTTACTTTCACTAAACTTATTCTTTTTGCCTTCTCGAAGTACAATCTCGCTATTAACCAACTTTCATGCTCGCAGCTACAGGTTTCAGACTTTTAGCTCCTTTTTCCACACTTGTTGCCTTTATAGGGCTCAGAAAGGTACACGCTTAGTTTAATCTACGCAGCAATTAGTCATCGTGAAATGGACTTCATGCATTCACGATAAAAAGTATGTCAAATAAAATTGGTTGTATTAAATTAGTCTGTGTAATCGCTCATTCGTCCTGGAGTGGTCCAAGGTAGAAAAGGCTTCAAAAGATATCAGTCATTATGGACATCAAGACCTTTTAAAATGTAAAATACCTGTGCTCAGTATTAAGTGCAAGAATTATTCATGTTTCTGATTAAATTAAGTATTTCTGAATGACTATTTTATGCCCATCTCTAATTAGGACTAATGGTAATATTTTAGCACAAACTCAATTTCAAAATGACCAGATGTGGTTTGAGACAGTGTGACCCATAATGGCAATCAAAAACAAAAGGTTTTATCATCAAATACTGGCTATACGACCTTCATGGCCCACTTGTGATGTTTAAAAATTGGAATTTGTGTTACGGAGGCATTTTATTAGTACATTTTTTTAACTATACTATACACTATTATAATGTAATAGTGCATTTTCAAACTTGACGGTCATCAAAACATGCATGTCTTAACTTTAAAGCAGTCCTATTATGCCAAATTGACGTTTTAAGCTTTTAATCCTCTTTTCTTTTAGTTGTTTCTTCCTCATTTACCCACTCAAAGTACCGGACAGAGTCTCCCTCAGAGCACACTGACTGCAAATGAGCAAATCTCCAAATGGTGATGTGTGAACAACAAACAACAATCTAAATTTTGGACTGAAAAATGAATCTTTTGAATAAATTATTAGACCCAATTAGCCTTACTGGACTGGAGCAGCACTTTGTTGTCATGACATTTACCAGAGCTCCCATTGGGCTATATGATTTTACAACCTGGAAGTTGGCATACTTGTTTCTCTTAAGCCCTTTTAGATTAATATTTTGCGATTTGAAATGTCCAAAACGTAACATAATGATCTATAGGTGCCATTGATTGTAACTAAATAGCAGACATGACGACAATATGTTTTATTCTTTAAGGTTACTGGTAATGTCCAGGCCCATCGACAGAAATTTTAGGGTCCAGGGCAAGAAGCCACACATGGGCCCCCCTCTATTATAATTTAATAGGAAGAAGGTCAAATTCTGGGTCCCGGGACAACAGACCCCCCCCCCGGCCCTACTGCCCTGGTGAAAATGTAAATACATTTTGACAACAACTAACAGAATATTTCCCATCTCTAGCCTCTGCACCCACCCGTACCCTGGGCAGGCGAAAGCTGGTGCGAAACCGCTTCACCATCGACACGGACATCGTATTCGACAGCGACCCTGACCTGACCTCGCCCCCCGACCCCGCCGAAGCCACCCCGGAGCGGCTGCAGCGAGGCAACAGCGTCCCCCAGCCCCACAAGTCGGACACGGACCGCTGGGTGGAGGAGCAGTTCGACCTGGACGAGTACGAGGACCGCGACGAGATGAAGGAGACGGACATTCTGAGCGACGAGGACGAAGGAGTTCTGTCCGGAAGCTCAGGAAGGCCTCAACGGAAGAGCCGATGTCCGCGCTGTCCATGGAGAGCGAGGAGACGGAGAGCGAAGATCTCATGTCCCCGATGGAGGACTTGAAGCGGATCAGCATTAGCGCGGGGGAAGAGGAGGAGCAACAGGCTGAAGATGACGTTTGGATCCGGAGAGGGTCCGCAGACTGTGAAGCGTAGAACTGTTTTGGACAATATAATATAAATAAAATAAAATAAAATAAGGTCCACCATAACCCAGGGCTTGGCATTAACATAACTGGTCAATAGCAGGTTAAAGGGCCCATATTATTCTATTTTGTCATCGGTTATAATGTTGTTTACTCATCAAAAACGTGTAAGAGTTGCGTATTGTTTCATTCATACATGTTTTTCATCGAAATTCCCACAATAATATCGTGGACCATTACATTATATCGAATTACAAGTCTCTGTGCTTAAATTACGAGTTATGGTGCAGCAACAGCTAAAAATTTTTTTAAACAAGACAGTGGGAACTACATAGACCATGATCCTTTGCTCCATTTCAGTGTAGACTACAAGAAGAAATAACAGTTCTTTGGATTAAGTCTTGTCAAGGCATTTTAAGAGGAAAATGTCTCCACAAAATATCGCAATAAATATCGTACCATGAGATGTATATCGTGAAAATATTGTACTGAGAGATCTGGATATTGTTACATCTCACGATATTTCAATAAATATCGTATCGTGAGGTTCATACCGTGACGATAACGTATCGTGAGACTTTGATATCGTTACACCCCTAATATTTAGGCTGTTTCTTCTCTCAAATGGAAAAAACACACAAGAAAATCTATTAAAAAAATTAGCTGTTAACTTGAATGACATCATGACATCAAGAGGTGGAACTGAACATTTTCAGCTTTGGAGATGTTGACAGACTAATAATTAAGGATTAAGAATCAAACGTGTGAATGAAACAAAACACAACTCCAGTTATGTTTTTGAAAAGGTAACAGTATTATAACGGGGCTTAAAACTCACAAGAGTCAAAAAAAAAAAAAAAAAAGTGTAATATAAGACCTTTTTAATTTCAATTTCAGACTCTATTTATACAACTTAGATTACTTTTGCTTATGCCTGTTTATAGTATATTTTGCTAAGCTTTTAAATGGTTCCTTAATTTGATATAAAAAAAAAAATAAAACATGGTAATATTGATGTAAAAGAGAGAAAAGAAAATGCTACGTATTTTCACATAAAATTGCCAAAAGGTTAATGACAAGCCCTGACAATTAGCCTACCCATATTCACTCTCAGCGCATGGGTTCTGACGTACCGCTAGTAGAACTTCTTATATAGCCTACTTACCCTTATGCTAAGTGCTTTGTGTACAGGTAGAAGACAACGGCAGTAAACAGGAGTGGACTGGGTTAGCCCGCTTTAGTTTGTTTTGTTTAGGGTGACCAGACGTCCCTGTTTAGTCCCAGTTTTGAGCCCCATGTCCCCTGTCCCAGCAGATTTACACAAAACCATTGATTTGTCCCAGTTTTATACAAGAAATGTCCCAGGTGTCCATATTTTTGACCAATTTGCTACCAGTCAACAGTAAAGAGAGGGATAAATTGTAATTTGCTTTATTAAAATACAGAAAAGCATGTTTTAAAATGATCAGAACACAAAGACAAGGTTCCATCGCTAATGGAAATCCGGGAAAAGTCTTGGAAATTGAAAATGTCATTTACCAGGCCTAGAAAAGTCATAGAATTTTAGTATCTCTTTCTACAGCATTGTGTTAAGTTCTCATTAGGCTATTATGATTATTTCCGAACGTATGCGCCTTTTGTTTAAAAGAGATGACAATAAATGCACTGACAATATTTTGAATGTTAAAAAACTATAATACCAAACCATAAGGTGAATGGAAAGGGTTAACATTTCATATTTAGCCTTAAATATTTGCTTAATTTTACACATGTAGGGTGCTGTAAAGTCACAGAAAATTCACTTTAGGTCATGAAAAAGTCATGGAAAAGTTTTAAAATGTTGTCAGTGAAAAAGAGTGGGAACTGTGTGAAGAAAATGTGACTCTACTGACTCGCATGTTAGTCATGAGATGTCTCTGCATAACAGTTTTCATTTTATTATTGCCAGCCACCGAAAAAAATTGTCCCAGTTTTTTATTTTGAAATTCTGGTCACCCTAAGCTTGTTTTCCTTTACTGTACTTTACTAAAAACTTTACTTTACTAAATCTTTACTAAAACTTTCTTTCTGAAGGCATATTTTGGTTTAAACTAGCTAATTTATGTTGCAGGTTCATTAAAAACTACCAGCTTAACAAAAACATATTTTAGTTTTGGCAAAAGTTGACAAAATGTGTCATATTAGCTAGCCCCTTTTTGTTTTGGTAAAATCTAGAAAAGCATGTTTAAAAACAACCAAAACACAAAGAAAATGTGACTATACTGACTCGCATGTTAGTCATGAGTGGTCTCTGCGTAACAATTTTCCTTAATTTTATTATTACCAACCACCAAAAAACCGGGGATGTCCCAGTTTATTTTGAAATTCTGGTCACCCTAAGCTTGTTGTGCCTTTTGTCCATTTGAACTTTACTTTACTAAAACAGTCTTAAGGTATATTTTGGTTTGAACTAGCTTATTTATGTTGCAGGTTCATTAAAAACTACCAGATCATCAAAAACACATTTTAGTTTTGACAAAAGTTGACAAAATAGTAGCTAGCATCTTATATTAGCGTATTAGCTTTTACTGCTAATGCTTTACAGTTGGCAAAATGGAGCTGAGCTAAGTTTATGCTAACGTTGCTAATACTGTCACTCACGTAAACATTTCACATTTAACTTTTGCTCATAAAAATGACTAAGATGACCAGATATTCAAAATTAACACACAGGTTTTGATGGTAAATCATAATAAAATTGTGAAAAGAGCGCTTACATCCTTTCTCGACTCACATTTGTCAGTATTTAGTGTTGGTATTTAATCTGAGGGACTTCTGTTACTGCATTTTATTTTTTATTTTTTGACCTTATGCTCATTTTCAAGCATGGTTTTCTGTATTTTAGCTAAAAGAATATTTACAATACATTATTTCTGCGTCTTTACTGTTGGTAGGTAACAAATTAGTCAAAAATGGGGACAACTGGGACATTTCTTGGATAAAACTGGGACAAATTTGTGGTTTTGTGTAAATCTGCTGGGACAGGGGACACGGGGCTCAAAACTGGGACTGTCCCGGGTAAATAGTTACATCTGGTCACCCTAAAATGACACAAATCGCAGTGTTTAGCTCGTCTTAATCAGTTGCATAAAACAAATGCTTTTTAATACTATTCTTGCGTAAGTCCACTCCTTTTTACTTCCTTTGCCCACATCACAAATGGAAGCAATATGCGATTCTACTTTTATTTTTGTCAAATGAAATGCTGTCGGGACAAAAGAACACGTTTTAATGGAACAATCATGGAGAATCCTTTGCTTCGATTGGCATGGTTTGCACATTTAGGCAGCATTGTACAGTCCTGCCTGCTCTTACCAAATTTCAACATTGTCCATTTTCTTTCTATCGTCTGTTATTCTGATATATTATAGTCAAGGGCTGTAAAAATTGCAAATAATTTTTTTAATTGTATATTTTAACACTGTTTCGGGGCCACTATCTTGCTATGTACATGATTTAATTTGATGTTTTTTATCTTGGAGAATAGTGTTATTTTGTTAAATAGCTGAATTCTGTCATAGCCATAACGGCACATGGGGTTTTAATGTTTTAACTTAATCCTGTTTTACTTGAATTTGCTGTTACGTTTTATTTACTGTGAACCTATAGTTTTTTTCAGTATTGTGATAAACCACTTTTAACACTTCACGTGCACATTCGGCATTAGAGAGAATTTGCACATAGCTACTGTGTGTTTTTAAAAATGTTCACTGGAAATCAACTTTATTTATTCATCTGTGTTTGAATATGTTTTTGCCAGTTATGGAATTTGCATAAGCAATCAAGGGATGTTGTGTTTTGCCTGAAAAAGCAAAAGAACTTGTAAACAGCTTATAGTGCTACTAAGACTGCATTTTTATTACTGTGTGTACATAGAAGATGTATTGATATCATAATAAATACAGTTGTTTCCTATGTTTCTATTGGTGGATGTGTCATCTTTATGAATATGGGTTAATGATATCACTGAGTACTAAAAATATTTCAAGATTATGTTATTCCTTCTTCCTTCTCTTGCTTGTTCCCATGGAAAATTGGCATAAAACTTGTCTATAACAGTCAGAAGTCCTGGTATGTTTTTAACTTTGGAAAATTGGACCCAAGGCAGTGTTTCCCAAACTTTTTTTCCGGGGACCCATATTTTTAAAAGTCACAAACCTTCATGACCCAAGTCAATAGACATTATTCATAAATCACAAAATAAAGGTGGATTTGGCCATTATTGAACTTTAATGAGGATATTTTATTGTTGACTGGGTGAACAATTAGTATTACTCAAGTTTTAAACAATGAAAAACAGTCATTGAAGCAGCAATAAAAGGATCCATAAGTCGCCTATTTGGACATTAATGAAGCCCATTTGTTTTCCTTTTCAACATTCAACTGAACCAGCAATAACTGGAACAAAATAGTCAATAAAATAATTACAAAAAGATTAGAAATTATTCAAAACATGTATTAACATTTCAACATTATTAATGAGATAGGTGGGTCTGTCTGTGTTTTTGTAGCGCATTCCAGTCCGGGGTGCAGGAGGAGAGCACAACACGTGTATCACTGTTAAAACTGTATGTTGCAGACCTATATGCAGATCATGACAAGGCAACCCCCCAAAAAAAAAAAAAAATCTCTTGTGACCCAGTCTTTGGGAAACAATGGACTAAGGGAGTGTAACCTCACGGATAGCGATCGGCTCCAGGCAAATGAGGCTCACAAGGATATTCTGTTATAGGGGTGAATTTGGAGCCATTCCCCATATTAGGACTAGGAATGTATTAACTTAAAAAATGAACCAGAATGAGGAGGCTCACTGCAAAGAGAGGAGTGGCAATATTCCAATGTAAAGTTGATTGGAAACAGAGATGAAAAAGCCAGAAGCGCCCCCATGAACACTTCATATTTAGAATGGGGTAGTTAGTGGGTTATGTGTATTTATATATACCATTGTTTCCAAAGACTGGTGGGTCGCAAGAGATTTTTTTTGGGGTGGGTTGCCTTGTCACAATCTGCATGTAGGTCTGCAATATACAGTTCTGACACATGAGAGAGCTAGTAACTACTTTGTTCCAATATTGCTGGTTTAGTTGAATGTTGAAAAGAAAAAGAAATGTCCAAATAGGCGACTTATGGATCCTTTAATTGCTGGTTCAATTACTGTTTTTCATTGTTTAAAACTTGAGTAATACTAATTGTTCAGAGAGACACGATCACTCAGCCAACAATAAAACATCCTCTTTATTTTGTGATTTACGAATAATGTCTTTTGACTTGGGTCGCGAAGGTTTGTGATTTTTAATATATGGGTCCCCAGG